CTTATTGGCGTATATGTTCTCAAAGTAGGTAGTGATGATCCTCTGGATTTCTGCTGGGTCTGTTGTAATTTCATCCTTTTCATTCCTAATTGCATGGATTTGGGCCTTTTCTTTCCTTTTCCTGATAAGGTTGTCTAAGGGTTTGTCAATTTTTTTTATTCTTTCAAAGAACCAACTCTTGGCTTCATTGATTTCTTGTATCATTCTCTTAGTCTCCATTGCATTGATTTCTGCTCTGATCTTTATAATTTCTTCCCTTGTAAGAGGTTTGGGTTTGTCCTGCTCTTTCTTTTCTAGAAGATTTAGGTTCAGCATCAGCTTGTTTAATTGGGCTCGCTCTGTTTTCATCATATGAGTATTCACTGCTATGAATTTCCCTTATAAGACTGCTTTCATTGTGTCCCATAGATTCCAATATGTTGTACTATCATTGTCATTTAATTGAAGGAACTGTCTGATTTCTTCTTAAATTTCCTTTGTGACCCATTGGTTATTCAGAAGTGTATTGTTCAATTTCCATGTGTTTATGAAATTTCTGTGGTTTCTTTTGCTATTAATCTCCAATTTCATCACACTATGGTCTGATTAATATACAGGGGATAACTTCAATTCCTTTGCACTTACTTAAATATGTTCCATAACCAAGTATGTGGTTTATTTTGGAGAAAGACCAGTGTACAGCTGAAAAGAAGGTGCATTCTGATTTTGTGGGGTGGAACATTCCGTAAACATTTGTTAAGTTCATTTCCTAAAGAGTTTGATCGAGTTCTAGTATTTCGTTGTTTATTTTTTGTCTAGTTGATCTATCTATTTGTGACAGTGGGTTATTGAGGTCCCCCACTACTATTGTATTAGTGCATATAGGATTTTTCATGTCTGTTAGTATTTGTTTTATGTAGTTGGGCGCCCTAGTGTTTGGTGCATAATATATTTATGATTGTTACCTTTTCCTCTTGGATTGTTCCCTTTACAAGGATGTAGTGTCATTCTTTGTCTCTCTTGATCAGTGTTGGTTTGAAATCCACTTGATCTACAAGGAGGATAGCTGCTCCTGCTTTTTGTTCGGGTTCCTGTTGCAATAACAGGAATTTTTTTTTTTTTTTTTTGGTACAGGGGATCAAACTTGGGTCCTTGCACTTGCGCAGCAGGCGGCAAAACTGCTGAGCTAAATCCCCGGCCCAATAACAGGAATTTTAATGCAGTATGTATCTGTCCTGTCTATTCATCCATCTAGCTACTCACTTAGGGATGCATACTTTGTTGTTCAATGGTGTTTGTGGATGTATAATTTATTGTTGTTTATTAAGGCTGGTAATTGCTTTTCTTTTATTTTCACAAATACACCCTATTCTTAGGTATCATTCCCTAACAACTCTTCTAGTCATACTCCCAGGCATGTAGTAGGACTTTATTACTTATTGAATGAATGAACTATTTCAACTGCTTATATCAATTGATTCTATTGCTTTTAAATTCGGGGAACTGCGTGTACAGGAAAGTTTCAATTTAAGTAAAATAACTCCCTTTTGACTCATAATGTTAAAGTCTTAAAATAGCAGCAAATGTGCAAAAAAAAGATTATATGTCTCTGGCATATGGTGTTACACTGAATAGTAATGCACAACCAAACACACCAAAGCATAAATACTTCCTCTGTAAAACTGATTCTACAATGCTAAAATGTGATAAATGGTAATCTACACAAATAAAAATTGAAAACTTAAAGCTGTAATTTATCCTTCTTGGTTTCAATAAGTATATCAAATGTAAACATGATGAATCTTAGTTTTTAAAGAATTTTTAGCCAGATATGGTGGTGCATGCCTGTAATCCCAATGTTCTGGGAGGCTGAGGCAGGAGGATTGCAAATCTTGCCTGGACAACTTAGAAAGAACTTGTCTCAAAATAAAAAAAATTGCTAAAAAAAGAAAAAAAAGGAGCTGGGGGTGTAGCTCAGTGTAA